GGCTTCTCTTCTCTGTCCTGTTTTGTCCAGCGCTGAAAGTGCCCGTCTCTTAAGGCAGAACGTGTTTGCAAACCTTTTTTTCTCGGCCGACCCTCGGCTTCCAGGCTCTGCCCCTCCAAACCCTTCTTGGCACACCTGGCAGGACACCCCCCCCCAGCATGTCTACGGAGGGGTCACCAAGGCATGAGATTTGGAGGGGGCTGTTAGGTGAGATGCCAGCATTCCGGACGGGGTGCCGTGGGAAAGCCGGAAGCTTGGCAAGAGGGCCAGGTTCAAGGAAAAAAGTGAGGCAAGGGACGATTTTTCCATGGGGAGAACTCGCGGGCCGATAGAGATGCCGCATTGCACACCTGAAAGTCCAGAATCTGGCACTCCCGTGGCTTTGCTCCAGATGGAGGGGAGAAAATATTTATTTTAGGTGCTCTGCCAGCTTCTGGACCCCTTTCCTTCCCCCCCACCCCACTTGCCCAGTCCATGACTTTTGTTAACGTTGCCCCCCCTTCCTGCTCCTCAATTCCATCAGCCTCCACCTCTCCTGGTTTCTTCCAACCCCCCCTTTCTCTTCCGCCCTCCCCAAATCTTGCAGTCTGTATATATTCCAGCGCCAGAATTCTGCTGCCAAGATCTTTCTGAGCATCAGCACTTTGGCCCCCCCGGGCTTTTAGGGTGGAGGGGCTTGGCTTTGATCCCTTAAGGGCCTGACCCCCTTCAGCGGTGGGGTGTACATAATTTATTGTTCCTCTGCCTTGTGGCCTCTCAACGTCTCTCTGTGTGAGTGATTTGGCGTAAGGGGGGGAAAGGCTGGCAGAAGGCTCCCTCTCGTCTTGTATTTCACTGCAGAAGGCATGCCACTGCCAGCTGTAACCCCCCCACACCCACACCCCACCCCGGTTGCAATAGGTGATCCGAGGCTTGGAGTGGGAGGAGGAAAGACAGGCCGCGAGTTAGACTTGCTTTCTCGGTTTGGCTGAAGATTTCGTTTCTTTGGCACTGCGGAGAAGAGAAAGACGGAGCCTTGCACGCATGCTGGCGGGGGGGGGGCGAGAGATAGAATTGGTGCAGGCTTGGCCCTTTCTCGTTTGCAGCTGGCAGAGGAGAAGGTGGCGCTGGGCAGCCGAAAGGGGCGGATGCTGGCCTTCAGAATCAAAAGGGGGGTGGGTGCAAAGGCACACGAGAAAGGGCCTCCATCTCCATTTTTGTAATTTTAAGAGGTGGCGCTGGGCAGCCGAAAGGGGAGGATGCTGGCCTTCAGAATCAAAAGGGGTGCAAAGGCACACGAGAAAGGCCCTCCATCTCCATTTTTGTAATTTTAACTCGTCTAATATTGGGGGGGGGGGGTTTTGCGAAAGGGCCGTGTTTAGGAGCATCTGGTTTCCCTTGCCCTGTCTGTGACATCTCGCCCGAGTGCTTGGCCACTCGGCCCTCCCCTCTGTGTGCATGTCCGTGACCCGTGGGAAGGACACGCAACGCGATTAACCGAGTGAACGCCCAGGGGTTGAGGCCTCCGGTTGCAGTAGCCAGAGGTCGGGGGTTCGATTCCTCCCACGGGGACTCCTGGACAGGGGCTGGACTGGATGATCCCCCAGGGTCCCTTCCAGCTCTGCAGTTCTGAAATGATGATGATGATGATGACGACTGAGCTTGCATTCCCACTTTGCCTCTGGAGGCCCAAAGTTTCTGGGGTTCACATCTTGCCAACCGGGCGCCCCATGTGATGGCACATCTTGTAAAGGATGGGAAGGGACCTCCAAGGGCTATCTAGTCCACCCCCTGTCGAGGGAGGGAATCCTCGGCATCCCTGGCTGATGACCGAAACCTTCCAAGAAGGAAAGCTCACCAACTTTCCAGGCCGTCCGTTTCACGCTCGGACCCTCCGTGCAGAAAAAAAGTCTCTCTAATATTTGGCTGTTGTAATAATAGTGGAAAGTTCATCTTCATATTTCCTCAAAATTGTATTTTCTGGCTATTTTTTATTCATTGCTTCAGACTTTCCCGCCAGAGACGCAGAAAATAAACCAGCCAGTGGAGAGATTCATGGTGTGCGTGTGTGTGTGAGAGAGAGCCAAGATCTGCCCCCAGGGCTTGAGGGCAGGACTTTAGAGGTGTTTCGGCTCTCCGACCTAACCTTTGCACTTTTCCCTTTGAAAGAAACTTGAGTATAACTATCCTTTGACCTTTCTAAGAATCACAGGCCCGTCTGCAGTAACTCAACTTCCAGACACAACCATACAGAGATTTGGTTTGAGGCTGGGTGTGGTGTGTGCAGTGGCTAAGGTGCTGGATTCGAACTCGGGGGTTCAAATTCCTGCAAGCATACCGATACACAGACTCTGAGCCTGACCTACATCGCAAGAGGGTTGTGAAAACAAACCAAAGGAGGTGGTGGAGGAGAGCCACGCCCAATCCTGTGAACGCCTTGGAGGAAAAAGGATATATAAATAATCATAAATAGAACCTAAAGTCTAGGCAGGTTGAACTCTCTTCTTTTAACACATGGGCTATGTTATTCCTGGGGGACAACTTTTAAAGACTCTACAGGGTGTGTTTCCTGGAGATTTATTCTTGGCTCTGAATTGCTATCGCACCACTTCTGTCGTCACCAGGATCTTCCCAGATCTACATGTGGGATGTTATTCTTGCATACCAAACTTGAAGCTGTTTTTCTGGCCCCATTCTTGAGAGCGATCGGCCGCGCTGCATTTTACTGAGTTCATTTTAATAATCTATTTCTCAGTTGCGTGGCCTATATTGCATAAAGCCCGTATTAGGGTGTTTGCATTGTGGCTCTGGCACGCATGTGTCAGAGATCTTTAGCCACAGTTTTCTCACTGAGGGGGGCGGGACATGGGCGAGCAGAACACTCCCTCCTTGACTCAGTTTCCCAGTCCGCAAAATGGCAAGCCTGACCTACTTCGGTAATTGGCATCGTGGAGGTCTGCTGACACATAGTCACCCAGATGTTATTTCCAATAAAGGACCCATGCTAGAAGAGGGTGTGTGAGAGCCATATGTAAACCTCAAGTAAATCCTGGGTATTCTGGAGTGTAATTTTTGATCCAGCCTAGCTTTAAAGCTAAGGATTTTGGCTCCCAAAGCTGAGCAGGGCTTCCAGGGAAATTAAAAAAGGTAGATTTTTAATTTTTATGGGTTTTTTAAAAAAAGAGAGGCCTGCTTATCATTCCAATAATACAGTGGCTTGTGCTTAACCCTAGGTTGTCACTACTGTTTCTCTCCCTTTTCTTTTTCTCTGGTGAGTTTTTAACGGAAAACCCTGGTGATCCAGGCCTTTGAAGGACCGACCCCCAGGATGGTTTGATAAGACCGTTCGCTGTTGGCGCTGTTTTACAGCAACTTTTTTATTTTATTTATTTGAGATATTTTTACCTTGCCTTTTTCCTGAAAAAAAAAAGGACCCAAGGCAGCTTACCTAATTAAAAATGCAATATTAAAAACAATAGATAATTCAAATATTTAGAGATAATTAAATAAACAGTATATTTTAAAAAATGTTATGTTGATGTTCTTCCATTATTTTGAAGCTTCATGGTGGGCAGCGATTGATTAGAAATGGATTCTAATCGATATATGTTGCAGACCCTCAACTATAACGTGCCTTTATTCTGTTTTTTTTAAAAATAATTTTTTTCCCCAGTCCTGAATGGTCAAAAGGTAGACCATATTTTCTCTGAAACGTTTATATCACAGGGAAGCGCTGGTTGGTCACGACAGCTGTTCAGATATGAGGTTTTTTTAAAGCACCTTTCTCCTCCTCCTCTTCTCTTGTGCTAGTATGCAGAAGCCATATCATCATCCTCATCATGTTAAAACTACAGAGGCAGAAGGGGCCCTCTGGGTCATCCAGCCCAGCCACAGTCCAGGAGGCGCTGTGGGGGAATTCGAACTCCCAACTCTGCAGCCAGAGGCCTCCTAAAGCCCTGGGCTCTCCAGCCATTTGATAATACATGCAATCTTGCGCATCTCTCTAATTGGTCAGCATAGGATACTCGTTGCTGACCTCTTGGCTTGCCCACCCTGTATTCTCCTTTTGTTAAGGACCGCTGTTTATTTATCAGCTTGTTTAGCATCTGAACACTCCCGACCCAAGATAGCAAAACTAGCCTGGGGGGAGGGGGGACGAAGCGGACAGGACCCCCGTCTTCAAAACCGCATGCAAGCCAAGGGGTGTTTTTCATTGTCCTTGGAAAAGAGGAAGGAAGAGACGGTAGGTTGGCCGGCTTCAGACCCGTTGAACTACCGATTCCCATCATCCCCAGACCAGAACAGCACTGATCTGCAGCAATTAGGGGAAATGGGAGCTGTAGTCCCCCTGGTCTGGAAGAAGCGACTTGGGGGTGGTGGTGATGGTTTTGGGTGATGTCCCCACGCACCCTGAGTTCTTGCTCTCTTCCGCTCATTGCATTTTGGTGCGTCTTCCCCCAAGGCGTACCCCCCCCAAAAAAAGAGGGTGATGGACTTTCGCTTTGCTTTTAGCCTCCTGCCCCTGAATTGCATCTGCTGCGGTTGCCGCAGCTGCCCTCCTGTTGAACCCCCATGAGATCGGTGTGGGGCGGGTGGGGGTGGGGATCTCGGGTTTCCTCGTCTTCGCTCGCCTAATTAGATTGGCACAGAGGCCCCCCCCACAGAGGGGCGTCAGACCTGGGTTAAATGGCAAAGGTGTGTATGATTGAAGGCTGACAGGTAGTTAGAAAAAAGATAGAGGGAATATTTGGGGGGGGGGCTTGGTTGTGTGTCTCTGGGAGATGCCTTGCCTTGGATTCTTTTTGAGGAGGGATAAAAGTGTTTTAAATAAACTGCAGATAAATAAATAAACGGTTTCTTTTGCTCTGTGTCCTTTTGGGAATCCATCTAAGGTTTCTGAAAGGTGAAGTGGGCGGAGGAGGTGGTGGTGGAGGGGGATAAATCGGAGCCGAGAAGGGGTGGCTGCACTTATGGGGCTGTGTTAGACGCCTGCCTACTCAGGATCTGACCCTCTCCAACCATTCTCTCCCTCCGGTATAGCTCTGATCCTGCTTTTCTACTTGGTCTTCTACGGCTTCCTCACCGCGCTGTTCACTCTCACGATGTGGGTGATGCTGCAGACCGTGGACCCCTTCACCCCCAAATACCAGGACCGCCTTTCTGTCCCAGGTAAAGTCCCCTGGCGCACGTCTTCCTCGTCCTTTACCACCACCGCCCTCCTCCCCTTCTTGCGGCAGCCACAGCTACCCAAAATCTTATGGCCGCTAGACGAAAACCCAAGGGGGAAACCAATCATTCTGGGCTGTTGTTCGAAACAAACAAAAACTCATAGGGATCACATCTTACTGTAGTCCCTTCCCCAAAACGGAGTTAATTGTTCTGGAAAAAGAACTCCCAGAATTCTTCCGGCAGCATGGCCAGTGGGGGATCATGGGAGTTGTAGTCGGGGGAAGTCTTCCTCCCTTGGCTCTGGACCCATGCAATACGTATTCTCAAGCAGTGTATAAGTGGTACAGTGTTGATTAACTGCAGTGGATATGCCACTCGTACCCTGAACCTGGGTGCAAGCGCTAGGTCCTGTACATCAATGAAACCTCAATTATATAGGCTCCGTTGAAGGGATGCTGTGTGTTCTACGCATGCAGTAGAAGGGGAGCACCTCCACAATTTAAGGGTCTGAAAGGAGGGAAGCAGGGTGATTTGGGAGAAAGGCACAAGTCCGGCCTTCTAGCTTTCTACTTAAATGAAGTTCTAGACATAGGCAAGTGTTTAAAAAAAGAGAGAGAGAGAGAAATGCAATCTGCAGTCTGAAATGGGCAGCTTCACCACCGCATGGTTCAGGAGCTGCCGTTTTAGCACAAGGCAATAGAGAGAGGGACGTAAATAGACAGTGGGGGCTGACTAAGGATTATGGAGCTTTGCATATATTTCCTACCTTCTGACCGGAGCAAGGGAAAAGCCTATGCCAGCGGAACTGGGCAGGAGGGGTGGGATGTGAGGAGAGATGTAGGGAAGTCAAGACTCGACCCACGTTTGGTGGGCTGTCTGGAGGGACCTCCCAATAAAGGCAGAGAGAGGAGGGCCTTGTTAAATTTGGGTTAGGGCGAGAGAGATTTAGAACTGCTTTGAAAAATCGCGTACTCCCCCTGTCTCCAACTCTCTTGTCCTTTGGGAGGAGTAAGAAGATGCCAGGGTTGTGCAGGAGACAGGTCTGATCGGGTTTTATTGGGCACATGTACGTCCCTACCAGGGGAACTCCCTGCTCTTGATCAGACCATTTTTACGAGCATGTCTGGGCTGCTCCCAAACCTCTTCTTTTCCAGGTTCAGTTGACCACCCCTCCCTTCTGCCCGCAAGTAAAAAGGTACCTCTTTCCAGAGGCCTTTGGGCCACCAGCAGGAATTGGCATGAGTCAGGATTTTAAAATCTGATTCTTAGTTTCTAAGTCATGTTTTAAAACATTTGCCTGCTACAGTTCCGTGTTTGGAGCTGTTATGATTTGAATGAAGTGCACATTTGAGATAGTTTTCTGTGCTGCCTTGGATTTCATCTCATAGGTGAAAAAAAGCAGGATGAAAATTCAGCCAGTCCATCAACCAAGTGAGTTTAGCTCTTAGACTTGCAGCGCTGGAAGGGACCCCTATGGATCATTGGGGGGGGGGGCGTGGAGGATTCGATCTCCCAACGTCTGCTTAACCCACGGAGCCATCCAGCTGTTCTTGGTAGTCTTTAGGTGCCTTCAGATATTGGAAAATCCCCCAGGATTAGAAAACATCTCTCTTGACTTGTGGAACCACTACATTTATATTCTCTTAAAGCTAGTAGTACAAAACCCAACGCAGCCTGGCTAGCTAACTAGATCTGGCTATTATGGAAGAGCTTAGTTCCCACAATTTCCGAGAGGTTCATTTTAAGGGTTGCCCTTAAGTCGTTATGCTCAACATCTCTGCGGTCAGGTATGATTTCTCCCACTGTTCTTTCCTCCCATGAAATCACTTTAACCCCTTGCAAGACTGTGTCTTTATCTAATAACAATAATTTTGTCCCATCAAGTCAATTCTGACTTCTGGCGGCCCTTTCCAGGCGGCAGGATTGAGACTCCAAAATGCATTCCTTGGTGTTCCTCTTCCCACCGACCCCTGCTGACTGTGGGGTTTTTTTTGGGGGGGGTCTCTTTCCAGGGATGATGATTCGCCCTAAGACAGAAGCTCTGGATATTACCTTCAACGTTACAAACACGGAGTCTTGGGAGAATTACGTGAAGATGCTTAATACCTTTTTGGAGGGTAAGTACTGAGCAGAGGGGCGGCCCCGTCCTTGGCCTAGAGAAAAAGACGAAATGATTGGCTTGCCGCAAATCAACCATGGGGGGGGGGATTCTGTCCCTCTCTCCGTCTTCCATGCTTCCACAGCATCTCTGCTGCTTTACAGCTCACTCTGTGTCATTTAGGGCCTCCTAGTGGTTGGTGGGCAACATAACTTGGTATGTTAACCAGGGGAACTCCTTCCTGCAGGAAAGTTAGTTATGCCTTTTCAATTAATGTGTGTATCTCAGAATCGTAGGAAGCTGCTTTATCGTGAGTTACCCCAGTGGCGCATCACACCCAGTACTGTCCACTCCGAATGGCAACCAAGAGATTTAGGCACGATTTTTTCTTAGCCCTAATGGGAGATGCAGCTGGAAACTCTGTCCAGTGTGTTACAGTTCCCGCACTCTCTGTTTTTGGTGCATCTTTTCTGTTAACCGTTTCCATGGTCGCGTGGCCAGCACAACTAGACACAGAACTCCTGAATGGCAACCAAGAGATTTAGGCAAGATTTTTTCCTAGCCCTAATGGGAGATGTGGCTGGAAACTCTGTCCAGTGCGTTACAGTTCCCGCACTCTCTGTTTGTGGTGCATCTTTTCTGTTAACCGTTTCCGTGGTCGCGTGGCCAGCACAACTAGACACAGAACTCCATGACCTTCCCACCAAGGTGGTACCTATTTATCTACTCGCATTTTTACATGCTTTCGAACGGCTAGGTTGGCGGAAGCTGGGACGAGCGACGGGATCTGATCTTACGCCGGCTGCTCTTCCAACCTTGCAGCACAGAGGCTTCTGCAGTTTAGCCCGCAGCGCCACCACGAGCATAGCATAGGGGCTAATAAATTGAGCAACCAACCCTAATGTCTTGCCCTCCCTCTTAGCCTCTTTTCCGACCCCAATTCTGCACGACGGGCATGAGACCGACCTTCTTCTCAAGGTTATGGCGGCCATTGCAGCAGCGTTGATTATTTGGGTGGCTTCTTTGGAAAGGGTGACGCTATCTGTAAAAAAGAGACTAAATGTTTATTGAGGGGTGCGCGCCCCGCGTGTGTACAGTTCTGGGCCAGGTGTCTTTTCTTAGCCTCGTTTGATCTGTGCTTAATATACCTCTCGGCTGTCAATTTTGTGGATTCCGACCGCTAGAAAAAGACGCGCCGCCGAGAGGCTCCCTGGGAAGAGAGGGCTGATAACGGCTTCAAAGACAGGATTTTAAACACACATCCAACCCGGCCCACTCACAGCTTCTTAAGATAAATTAACCTATTTGCTCTCCAGGGGCGAAACAGTTCTTCATTCTATTTTTGTTTGAGCTGCTCTGGAGAAGGAAGCCACAATCCTTTCAAATAATTATTATTGCTCTCTCCTTTTTTTTTGGGCTGGCTTTTATTATCCCTCCTTCATCAGAGGATGTTTAATTGACTTAGGGAGCTGATTGTCATAAGACACAGTGACAGTGCTTAGATTAGAAGCCTCGTTAAAAGGGGATCAAATAGGGCGACATTTTTAGATGGCTTAATGCAACAACGAAGTTCTAGAGGCAGTGCCTCTCAGAGGCTGGACAAGAAGCGGATGTTTTAGATAGCAATTCAGCATTAAAAAATTAACTTTTTTGGATGATCATTTCCAGCGTGCCCCAGTAGCTTTTCCGAGTTTGGTCCCTGTTTGTGGCCGGGAACCCAAATGCTGGATTATGATGTTCCTTTGTTGTGATTCAGCCTTGTTTCCTTAGGTCCTAATTTTGATCTGGCCTTTGAAACTTTCCGTGGAGAGTTACTCCTTCCTGGAAGATTGAGGGCTGTGCTTATTTACAGAAAGTCTTGGGGTCTCAATCTTGAGTCTGAGCCTTTGGTCCCAAGTCTGAGTCTTTAGTATCAGGTCCCAAGGCACAACTCTGAGTTCCTAATAAAAAACAAGACTGTCCCCCCCTCTCGAAAAAAAGGGGAAGGTAGGTGACTTGTGAGTTGTGAGTTATTTGGGGGGGGGGGAGAGACCAAGTCAACAGTGCAACTTAAGTCCACCTTAACAGCAAAGGAAAAAAAGGGGAAGGTAGGTGACTTCTGAGTTGTGAGTTATTGGGGTGGAGGGAAAGACCAAGTCAACGGTGCAACTTAAGTCCACCTTAACAGCAAAGAAGATCTGATCCCTCCTTATTTTCATGGAAAATCCAAGATTGTGCTTTGATTTAGGAGAATATTTTTTTTATTTATTTAATTTATATGCCGCCCACACTACCCCAATGGTCTCTGGGTGGCTTGCAACAATTAAAATACCAATTAAAAGATGAAACAATTAAAATACAGTTAAAATATATATTCTCAAGATTGCCATCAGGACCCACAGTTGATAAAAAGTATGTACTCTAAAAATTGCCATCAGGACCCACAGTTGATACGATTTCAATTAAAAGCCTTCTGGAACAGGAAGGTTTTGAAATGTCATCAGCGTCGGCGCCAGACGAATCTCAGTTGGGATTATTTGATAATTTAAGAATAATATACTTTTATCTGCCATTCCTCCAGCAACGAGGATAAAAACAACAGCACCTTTTGGAAAAAGGGAATTCTATCACCCAACCTTTGAGACCGCCGACGGTTGGAACTTTACCTACTGAAGCTGCTCCAGCAGGGTGGATCATGGGCAGGATTGTTGGGAACCGTAGTCCCAAAACACCTCAAGTATTAGGCTGAGAAACCGTATCAGAAATTAGAAGCATTGCCTGAGTCGCGATGCTGCTTTATGGGACATAAAATCTTCCCCCAGCTCTGTTCAAAAAGATGAATTCTTTTAAAGTGCCAAGATGAGACTGAGCAAGTGGACAGTAATCTGCTGGTAGTGGAGTCTGGATTAGACCCCGACCTGTATGAAAAGTCTCCATTGCCTGCATCCTCCCCTTTTCAGAATATAAGCCAAACAATTCAGAAAACTGATTTAAATTAGCTTGTGTTCATCAATGAAGTAGAAAGGTGTCTCTTGTATTAGCAGCAGGAAACAGCAACAGTCACCTTAGAGCAGCAGAGCTGGAAGGGACCCCATGGGATCATCCAGTCCAGCCCCTCTCAAGGAGGCCTAAGTGAGGAATCGAACTCCCAACCTCTCACTTCACAACCAGAGATCTCAACCCCTTAGCTATCCTGGAACATTCCTTTCTTTTATCAGCTCACTTGAGCCTTTAACTAGGAGTGCCAGGAATTAAACTTTGACCCTGTGTCGAGCAAACTGTCGGGCTTGGTGCCCCTAAATCACAAGCCCTTCCTTTCCTCCCTTCTTTGCAGCTTATAACAATTCCAAGCAAGTGGCCACCAACGAACTCTGCCGCCCGGGCCGCTACAACGAGCAGCCGGACAACGGGGTCCCGAACTATCCCAAGAGGGCCTGCCAGTTCAACCGCACCATGTTGGGGGACTGCTCGGGGCTCAACGACACCACCTACGGCTATCGGGAGGGGCGGCCTTGCATCCTGGTCAAAATGAACCGGGTAGGTGGCTGAGGTGTGAGCGGACATCCTATCCCGGACAGGTGTCTCTGTGTGTGTGTGTGGGGGGGGACTGTGAGTCTTGTGGCCAGTTCTGAGGACCAGTGAGATAAATGGCTGATCCTAGCCCCAGGCAACAATTAATTTCCCTTAACGAGAATCAGCTAGCACCTCGGGTTTCACCAGCTGGTATTGTGGGTGTACGTTTTCCTTGTTTTTCCGTCTCCTGGATTAGCAACCAGAGAAGCCCTTACTTGGGCCTGAGTTGGTATTAAGGACTTCTATATGCTGACTCCTAGTTTATAGCATATTGACCACCGACATCCTTGGCTGTTTTTAGGAGTCAGCAACAATTTTTTTTTGTATTCACAAAGGCTTTCACAGCCGGGATCTGATGGTTGTTGTGGGTTTCCCGGGCTCTTTGGCCGTGTTCTGAAGGTTGTTCTTCCAGTCTCTATAGCCGACATCCAGAGACTGGCGGAAATGTTAGGAAGAACAACCTTCAGAACACGGCCAAACAGCCCGGAAAACCCACAACAACCAACAATGTTTGTCCCTTTTTTTTAAATGCAGGGGTTCTCCTCCTGCACCACTGGAGAGCAGTTTTGGGAAGGAGGGGGTGAGAAAGGTGCCTAGCATCAGAGCCGAATTTTATCCCCCCTTCTTCTCACTGCAGGTCATCAACTTCTATGCAGGAGCTAACCAGACCGTGAACATCACTTGCGTAGCAAAGGTAAAGCCGCACACAATGCCCACCCCCCCGGATTATGTCTTGAGAACTCCATCTCCCTTTCTTTTTTCTCTTGCTGTTTACTTACTTCATCCAATTAACACTCCACCGTTTACCTCCTTGTCTCTTGGGGAAAAAAATCCATTCTGTGCACTCAGAGACTCAGGTCGAAGCATGAGGTAAGGGCCCTACTGCGCCAACACTTTAGAGGATAGTGCTGCAATTCTGCAGGGAAATTCTGCTGCCCTAGTGCATTACAAAAGCCAAGAGTTCATGCTCTTTGCTTCCCTGCCTTGTTGCTTCAGGAAATAGTGATTAGAGTTTAAAGAGTCCTGCATCTCCACCGCCCAATGGCTCTAACTTGCTAAGTTCTTTGGGAGAAATTAGCAGCCGTGATTCCCAGCTAGCTCCTGCTGACATTTTCCCCTGCTGCGTGCTTCTTCCACTCTCTGGCAATAGCCTGCACCCCTTGGCTTCTGCAAAGGGGACCCCTCTTTTTATCATCACTTTGTGTTCCTACAAGAAGTTTTGAGTAAATGAACCGCTGGTTCAAAGCTCACAGCTGTCCTCTTCCCCCACCCAAATATAAGCTAGTGGTGTGCGGAATACCACGGTATGCCATTCTTGAACTGGCTTTTGTGCCTCTCTTAACCCATCCGGCTGTTGAAAGTACAGCTATCATTCTGTCACTGCAGTTGTTTTTTTAAAAAAAACCCTTTCCCCCTCCTTTGGCCTTCCTGGAACCTCTTTTAGCAATGCTGTATTTGGAAGAACCTGCACCAGGGTTGTGCTCAGAGGTCTGTGGTGCAGGAGAACACGGTTTCACCCTCATGCACCACAGAGGTGCTGCTGATGCCATGAAGCTGCCCGTGTTCCTTATGTAAAGAGCAGAAGACCTCATTTTAAAAAAAGAACTTGCAGGAACTCTGTCAAGCGTCTGAACCCCATGATCAGCTTCTGGGATTTTCACCCACCTGCGGGACATACGGTAGAAACATAATTAAATAAAGGCAATGATGATAAATGCCCCCACAGCGTTGATTTGTAAATCTGGGGTTTCCCTGAAATAAAAAATCCAAGGTTTCGTTGGTGCCGTTGCAGAATACACACCACCTTGTTTTATGAACTCCTCTTCGTTCCACTTCCTTTCTGTTACTGTTGTCTCCTCCATCTAATAATTTTTCTCATCTGTTCAATCTGTTTTTTTTCCTTCTACGTTCTCTTCTATGTTTCTGCCTTCAGAAGAAAAAAAATCCACAGGAGGAAATGCTAGTAAGAGCAAATGACCGAGGGGTTGGGGTGGGCCAGCAGGTTGGGATCAGGTCCCCAGGCTCGGAGCTTGGGAAGGCCCATAGTTGGACGGAGGAAGGGGCTGGGTTTTGGTTAAAAATGAGCTTTTGGACTCCACGTCAAAGGGAACAAGAGAAGATTCAGTTGCTCCTTGTGAGCTTGCTTTGACAGGGTTTAAGCGGAAGCAAGTAAAAGCAAGGAACAGATTTTACATTGCCCAGTGGTGGTGGGCATTTTTAACGTGACTAAAAATACAGTCAATAAATACTGGATTATTATTTATTTGGTTTAAAAGTGCAGTCAGTAAACATTAAGAAGGCCTAGGAAAGGGATGATATTTAAAATGACAATAATCTTAGAATAGTAATCTTAGAATGGCAGAGCAGGAAGGAACCTTATGGATGGATAAGTCCCATTGACATTCTTTTCCCCCCCTTTCCCACAGAAAGAGGAAGATGCCCAGAAACTGGGAGAAATTGCAATGTTCCCAGCCAATGGGAACATTGACCTAATGTATTTCCCATATTATGGCAAAAAAGTACATGTAAGTATCGCCGGGCACAGCCCCCCTCCATGCTCACCTGAGCCCAGCTAAGGTTCATGTTGGGAAATTCTTGGGTTCCCCATTTGACCATTCTACCATTGATCCTTGGGGTGCTGGGATTTCCGATAATTGTTCAGGACCTTATCAAATACCCCCATTTCCCCTTGTGCACTTCATCCCAAGCGATGTATTGGGGCCATTAAAGGCCTATGGGTTAATACTGAGTGGGTGGGTGACTGTGGCTTCTACATTTCCCTGCGTTATTGTCTTTTCCTGTTGGCTTTATATTCTCCAGGGCAAAATTGACGTCTGTTAAGTATGGGAGCAGAAAAATATGTTTTAAAATGAAGTGTTTTAAAATGAAGTGGTGGATGGGTCTGATCAAAGCATATCTTTTTCTCCCAAGATTTTTTTTTTTGCTAGATTTTGGAACGTCTCATGTGTTCCTCCTCTTTATGTGTTAAAAAGGGGAGTGGAAGTTTGTAATGAGAGGCAGAGCGAGAGAGCCCTGGATTAGTTTATACACCTACTTTCTCCTTGATTTCTGGATCGTCACCTTCTCTTCCCTTCCCCTTCTTCCTCCATGGCCTCCCAGGTAAACTACACCCAGCCCGTTGTGGCCGTCAAGTTTCTTAACCTCACGTCCAACTTCGACCACAACATAGAGTGCAAAGTCAACGCGGCCAACATTGCCACGAACGACGAGCGGGACAAGTTTGCCGGACGTGTGGCGTTCAAGATCCGGGTCAACAAAGATTGAGTGTCTCTCTCTCTCTCTCTCTTTTGGTCCTTCTTCCATCCATCCCTTCCCGACACCCTCCGAGGCTAACGGCTAACCTTTCCTTGCACGGCTCCTCCGAGCTCAGAAGGGTTG